CTGCTGATCCAATTTCCTCCCGGAGTTCTTAGTCAGCAAAAATCAGCTTCTAAAGCCACAATCGGATGCACGCTTATTCGTATCTGAGCCTTCTCATATACAGCGGTGCATTCTTCCCCCACAAGAAAGTACAAGCAAAGAGATCGGCTGTGTGCAGGATTGCTAACAGGCCAGGAAAACATAAGAAAAGCCAATGTTGGATCAGGCCAGTGGTCCATCCAGTCCGACACTCTGTGTCACACAGTGGCCAAAAATACCAGGTGCCATCAGGAGGTCCAGCAGTGAGGGGGGGTCAACAGTGGGAGGGCTTCTAACGTCCTGGCCCCACTGGTGGACCTCCTGATGGCACTGGTATTTCTGGCCACTGTGTGATACAGAGTGTTGGACTGGATGGGCCTTTCGCCTGATCCAACATTGGCATCTCTTATGTTCTTATGATAGTAAGTACAAAAGGCTCAGATACGAATAAGCGTGCATCCGATTGTGGCTTTAAAAGCTGATTTTTCACTTGAATTAAGTTTAATTAGGCTGATGATACCCTTTCTAGAAATAAACGTACACTTCAGCTGGATTGAATATATACGTAAGGGGGGGGGGTGGGGAAAGGGGGGACCTATCCCATGCATGATCTTATAAACCTCGATCATGTCACCCCTCAGTCGTTCTTTCTCCAGGCAAAAGAGCCCCGAGCGCCTTAACCTTTCCTCATAGGGAAAGTGTTTCCAACCCTTTTATCATTCTAGTTGCCCTTTTCTGCACTTTCCCCCAATGCTATATAATATCCTCTCTGAGGTGTGGTGCCTGCCCCATTCATTTACTGGGGATGCTCCCTGCCATGAAAAGTTCCACCTGCCCACTTCTCCCTATTAAAGAGGCAGGACAGGCAGACGAGGGCATCCCTTCTTGAAAACCCTGCTCTCCCTAGCCATCTCTTCCCAAAATCTCCATAAATGTTTCCAAGCTGGAGTTGGCAACCCTAACATAGCCACAGCCCTTCTTCAGGGCACTGACCCATTAAGAGCTAAATCAAAGGAACAGACTCTTGCCTTGCCAACCCCCAGGTGGGGACTGGAGACTCCAGGAATTGCATCTAACTTCCAAACAAAATGTATTAGCTCCCCTGGAGGTAGGGTTGCCAGCTCTGGGTTGAGAAATAACTGGAGATTTGGAGGGTAGTGCCTGGGGAGGGGAAGGACCTCAGCAGGACCATCCAAAGCTGCCATTTTCTTTTTCCAGGGGAACTGGATCTTGGACTTCTAGAAATCAACTATAACAGTGGGAGATCTCCAGGGGTCACCTGGAGATTGGCCACCGTGCCTGGAGGAAATGGTAGCTGTGGAAGGGTGCACCCCATTGCATTAGCCAAGCCCACCCCCTGCACCCAAACCCAGGGTTGCCAACCTCCAGGCAGTGGCTGGAGATCTCTTCCTATTACACCTGATCTCCAGAGGACAGAGTTCGGCCCCCCCTGGAGAAACTGGCTACCTCGGGAGGTGGATTGTACCCCCCCATGGATGCCCCTCCCCAAACCCCACACTCCGCAGGCTCCACCCCAGCATCTCTAGGTAATTCCCAACCCATGATGCTACCCACCCTGAGCCCGCAGGCGGGATATAAATGCAAATTCTGCAGGGCCTGCAAGACGGAGCTCTTCCGCCAGGCTTTTATATAGGGGCCGCCACTTCTACTACTACCACCACTGAAACAACGGGGTTGGGACTTTAGGATCCTGGTCAGCCAATAGGCTGTTACTAGGATCCTAGGTGCCCATTGTTTCTGAGATCAAAGCTCTGGTTACCACCAGTGCAGAGCGACCACGTGCAGGGTCTAAGTTAGTACACAACGAACCCAGAGGTGGCAACCCCACCTCCCCAAAGCTCCACTCCCAAATCTCCAAGAACTCCCCAGCCTGGACTTGACCTAGGGCTGCCAACCTCCAGGTGGCGGCTGGAGATCTCGGGGAGGGCGGGGTTAAACTGCAAATAATAATAATAAATAAACCCTGAAAAGTGCTGAGACTGACACATCGTTGAGTGATTTCCAGATCATACTTTACTAAGTGATTTCAGAGATAGAAAATATAGGGCAAGCCCACGGGCTGCTTAAATCCACAACAACAACTCCACCCACACACACCCATACACCTGTGATTGGCTATTTACATACTCCTACATCTGATAGGGTTCCTTTAGGATCCTGGTCAGCCGATAGGCTGTTACTAGGATCCTAGGTGCCCATTGTTTCTGAGATCGAAGCTCTGGTTACCCAGCTGGTCGCGAGTGCAGAGCGACCACGTGCGCGGTCTAGGTTGGTACACAACAATAGCGAACAGACTTTTGTGTTCCTTTCTGGGCACTGTATGTTTCTTGCTGAATCATTACCAAAAACACAACTATTAGCAAATGGAATTAAACGCAAAGGATGAGAAATGATAATTGACATTGGAGTCAGCAGAGCGAAGGCAGGACAGCATCTGGGCACCCACAACTAGATCCGGCTCCAGTGGAGATGCTCTTCCACAGAGGCAATTTATATTAAATTTTAATGTTAGCTGCATTTTTTT